TTGCACCGTTGGAGGTATGTTTAATATTCTTACTAATACATTATATGTGACCCATAACATCATCAGCTTTCACATTACCATTTTCTAGGTCTCACAGTGAACTAAAATGTTTAAATAAGAATTTAGGAAAGTTTTAAGTTCTGTTATGCAATTATCAATTTTTCCTCATATTTTTTCGAAAAAGTTTGTGTTTGAGATAATCTTTGATTGCTGTATTTGCAGTTGCTATAGACGCAGGTTCACGTTATGAAATGGGATATCCTTTCGGAACATCTCATTTTATTGAAAAACTTGCTTTTGTGGTGAATGCTCTCATATATTTATTTTTAATTCCGTTCATTACGCTCACATCACTTATTTATTACTATTGAAAACTCATGGAAACAATAAAAAATTGTTTAAATAAGTCTTTTCTGTTTCATAATTTCATAAAAAGCTACGTAATATCCATTTAATCAATATTTAGAGATGATGTTTGTTGAGTTCTTAACTATATCGGATCGGATATAAATATTAAGTTGAATAATGCAAGCAGTAAACATGAAGAAAATTCATTTTAAGGGAACACCATCTCTTCCCACAAAAGAAGATTTGTTCTGTTTGCTAGAACAGCGTGGTGCTTTGATTGACTGTCAGTCAACGAAAGATACATTTATTTATGCATCTTCTTGTCGAATTGATGGCTTCAGTGATGTAATCAAGTTGATTGCTGATTCTGTGCAAAAACCAGTTATCAAATCAGATGATGTAAGTTTTGTTTAGTATTTCTTAGCTGTGCTGTATTAGCTTAAGTTTCTGTTAAAGAAAATTTTTCTAATGTTTTAACGAACTTTGGTTCAGTAGTTGATTTTTACAGATGGAGGATGCTCGACTGGTGATTGATTTTGAAAACAAAGATTTGCATTCAAAACCAGAATGTGAGCCATTACTTACCGATTGGATACATTCTGTAATTTTTTTTTATTGGAAGTCTGACTTTATCATTTGGCTTTAAATTCACGTCGAATTCATCTTAATTGACCATCATATTTTGCATGAATTCAAGTTGAAGATATCAGAATATAGTAATGTTTTTCATTCCAGGCAGCATACAGTGGTAATACTTTAGGTTTTACAAAATATTGTCCTGAAGAAAATGTAAACACTATAAATCGAGAACATATTTATACATTTATGATGCAATACTACGAACCGAAAAGGATTGTAGTTGCTGGTAAATATCTTAATGTTGTGTTACTTTGTTTAACTGCTGCCAAATCATATTCTGCTTCGACGTAAATTTTCTAATTACTAAGCTTATACTCACTCGTTTTTAGGAAGGAAAGTGAAATTTTAAGTTTTCACTTTATTAAGTGCAATTCTACTTACCAGATTTCATGTGGTAACTTTTTCCATGTGGATAAGTACAGAATGTGCAGATTTTATTAAAGTATTAAATGAGTTAACATTTTTTTGGTTAGATGCGCTATGTAAGATCATTCTTATGTCTTTAAATTGCATAGGAATTGGAGTTGATCATGATGCCTTAGTTTCTTTGTCGAAAGAACTTTTTGATATTTCAAAGACGGCTTGGGTGGAAGATCCCTCTTTAATTCTGGAGAAAGTACCTCCAATAAATAATTCATGTTCCCAGTATACAGGCGGTGAAAAACGAGTAAGTTAGTTTTGTCTTTGACAAAATTTGCACTTCAGATATGATTTTACAGAAAGTACTATCAAACTAGCAAATCCATAATATCTTATAAGAAAATCCATTTCTTATTTGATAGTGAAAAAATATCCTCTATATTTGATAGGTTATCAAGGATCTCAGTAATATGGCACTCGGTCCGACACCGTTTCCCAATCTTGCTCACTTCGTTCTTGGTTTTGAAAGCTGCGGATATCTAGATGATGATTTTGTAGCTTTTTGTGTCTTGCAGTCACTGATGGGAGGAGGTGGTAGTTTCAGTGCTGGTGGTCCAGGAAAAGGAATGTATACTAGATTATATGTAGATGTTTTAAACAGGTCAGCATTTTCGTTGTCGAAAATTTACAGAATTGTTTTTTCATTTTCCTCTGTCGTCTTCAGATAATTTCTTGGAACTAAATAAGTGCTCTTTTAAGGCATCATTGGATGTATAATGCAACAGCTTTCAACCATGCTTACAAGGATTCTGGAATCTTCCATATTCATTCATCAAGTGATCCATCACGGGTTCAGTTCTATAATTTATATTATAAAGTGTTCGCTGACGAGTTCGTTTTTTTACTTTCAACTTTTTTCAGGTTGGTGAAGCAGTTGAAGTAATTCTGAAGGAATTTTTGCGCTTAACTGAAGGTGTAGAGAAAGAAGAATTGAATCGGGCTAAAACACAATTAAAGAGCCAGTTAATGATGAATTTGGAAATACGACCTGTTATGTTTGAGGATTTGGCTAGGCAAGTTTTGGGACATGGATACAGACGAAAGCCGAGTGAATATTTAGAAAAGATTGGTAAACTTTTTGGGATTTAATTTTCTAAGCAATTATTGTCAGAACATCATTCCTGTGAATATATGTTGTAATAGTCTTTGTTGAGCAGACTCTATAACGAATGAAGACATGAAAAGGATCGCAGAATTCATGTTGACGAAGCGTCCTTCTGTTGTTGGATATGGTGATATCAAATATGTTCCTTCTTATGACGCAATTGAAAAATGTACAGCAACAAGAGAACTTAGTGATCTGAAGTCGAAAAAATTTTTCCGGTTTTGAATGTCTTGAAGTCAGCTGTTAGGTCATTGTTTTATTCAGATTAATTTTTTCTATTTAACGTTTTATTTGCACATGTGCTCATGACTATTTGTTGAACCTGTTTTAATAGCGCAGTGTTTCATACATTCTTTTCATTTATTATGATCTTTTTTCTGTAATAATATTCGTTTGAAATAAATACTTGAAAATCATGATCTATTATCATTCTTGAAGAGCGATGCTTTAAAAATGAAATAAAATACTGCATTGTTTCAATCTTCATTGCTCACTCTCACTTTTAATGAATTTTTGTAACTTTTGGATTAACTGAAAACGATTGTAGTGTCGCATCGGAGTAGTTTTTCTATTCATTTTGTGGAAGCGAAATTGGCACCAAAGTTTTCTGCTCCTAAGGATCCATGTACTTTTTTTTGGGAATTGTGCATTAATTTACAGCAATGAGTGAAGTGGTGCTTAGTATAACTTTTGGCTATGAAAATTAGTTTTCATTCGCTGTTATAAAGGTTAAAGGGTTAGGGTGGAAATACGTTATGTTGCAAAGGTAAATTGATTTTTTGTCCAGTTTCCAGATTTATTGATCCCGGATATTTTTTTCGTCTGAGTTAGTGGTTTTTACGAGATGGATGAAGACGACTCATATTTTTTTATGATAGAAGATATTCCTTCCATTACTCAACAGTCTAGAAGCTATACAGACGAGGTTTGGCGATGGATTAGAAGTATGTTCCAGGTTTACAGGAGATTGGTCATAATTAACTATATTATTGGTTAGAATTGGTAGAGGATTTGTAATACCATTTAGAGTTGAGATGGTCACTCTTGGTGAGAAAAGAGTCTGTTAATAAGAAGTTTTTTAGAAGCATTTTTTATTGATAAAGTTGAAATACTACTAAGTTGGCATTGAGCACTGAAAGTAGGTACCTGTTCTCGCGAATGACGAACTTTAGTAAGTGAAAAAAAAACTTTCACTCTCGATTGTTGACTAATAGCCGCCAATTTCGAGTAATTCTAGTCTGTAATCAATATTTGCTAGTGAGATTCGAAAGTTATTAGTTTATATAAAAGATTTAATCATGTGAGTGCTAACAAAGTTGGCTAGAGTTCTATGAAAATTTTAGCCATAGATATTTTATTGCATAATTTTTTTAATTGTATCCTTTTTCAGTTGAAAATATTGCTTGAAGTTTTTAAGGTTGAAAAATTTTGATTATTGAATTGTAACATAATAAAACTGGTAATAATACTTTCAGTCTCTCTTGAGAAGGTAAGTCTGAGTCATATTTTTTAAGTACGAAAAAAAAGTTAACATACACCTACATACAACCTATGATCTGCATTATTTTCATTGAAGTTACTGAATTTTTGACAAATTTTTGAGAATTGTGCGAATTTTGTAATTTAGTAAATTGCAGTTATAGTTCCTAACTATGGTTGGATTATTTTATTTGGAACACTAGCAGTGCTGTTTTTTTACTACACTTTTGTCAAATCATACATTGAAAGGATTGCCCAGAGAAGAGAACTATCAAGAAGAAAGAAATTTGGTATCATCTCCAAGATTTGATAATCTTTTTACACTTTCTATACTTTTGTTTGAGAATTTTACCTTACTGTGTTTCGCATTTTCAAGATATTTTTCTTTGCTTTACAACTTATCTATTATTTTACAGATGTATTTTGCTTGAGAAGTATTTTTTCATTAGCGATTTTTGTGGAAGTTATATAATTTTAGCATTTAAAAACATTGCAGACGATACTATGAACGACACAAAATTGCGAGCAGCTCGTGAACGAGCTCAGCAAGAACTAGAAGTTAAAGCAGCTGAAGTACGTCAACGTCAGGTAGGAGAAAGCTAAAATATATTTAAGCCATTGTGATAAAAATTAAAGTTTTCGCTGCGATGTTTTTTAACGATTTTTTAAATTTGATGGATTTGTTCTATTTGTTAGAATAATTTTGGAATTACTCAAAAATTTTCAGTGGTCATTTGGAGGTCATTGCAGGTACCCTCAGAAACACCACTAGCGTGCACTGATCCACACGATTTCGTGACGACATTGATAAATTCAACTCCAGTTGTTGTTTTTAGCAAAACATATTGTCCGTACTGCAGGTGTGTTGAAATTAGAATGAATTTTTTTAACTTTAAATAATTTTAGTGATGACTAATCATTTCATAAAACAATTACATCAATGTATCGATAAGTTTTTTTTTATATAAATGAAAGAACAGTACAATATGTATCGTTCATATTTCGTCTTAAAATAATTAATTAACCAGTGCATACAGCAGTTGACGAAAAGCAGCACCAAACATCACTTTTTTAAACCGATTTTTGTGTTTCTCATTATGTATTATATTTGTTGATTTTTCATTTATTCTGTTCACTTATTAAAAATATGCTTGCTTTTAAAAAGTTTTTTTAGAACTGCAAAACGAGCATTGAGCACTTATCGATTGCCGAGTGATTTCTATAAAATCATTGAATTGGATGAACGAGAAGATTGTGACAAAATACTTGTGAGATTGAAGAAATATTGAATCTTATTATTTATTGTAATTAAAATTCGTGAACTGGTTTTGCTTATACTAAATTTCTTAATCCATTTTTGCAGTGCATAGCATAAATTCGTACTAAAGTATGTAAGTCGGATCTATAATATTATACTAATATGTGGTAACAAGTGTTCTTGCAGGATGTATTGCTAAAAATGACAAAAGCTAGAACAGTTCCGCGAGTTTTTATCAATGGAAAATGTGTTGGTGGTTGCGATGACACTTTAGCTGCACAGAAAAATGGAAGTTTGGATAAAATGTTGAAGGAAGCTGGTGTAATTTGATTTCAAGTGATTAAAACCAGATGTTTCTTTCGAGTAGGAAACGATGATTTGTTCTAACGAATCTTAGCAATCCTAAATGTTTTATTTTGATGTGAGCAAGATCTTCCGATCATTTGAATTCTTTCGTGTTCGATAGTTCATAACTATGTTCTAATTTAAACGTCTTCCTTGAATAAATTTAGTCTGTTACTTCTCGATTTCACAATCTATAATTTGAAGCAATGCATTACATGTTTTTCACATGATTCTTATGACTTATGCTTCTTTATGACTTCTTTATTAAACTGATCCCAGTGTTTTTTCTTCGTTTCCAAAATACTGTTACGACGATTACTTCATTGCGACACCTTCTAGATCATCCTTTTATTATTCATGTAAATAAGTGAATAGCTTTCTTTTTGTCATCGAGCTGATTTATTCGCTTCAATTTTTCCTAATTCATATTTTTTTGTTTACACATCTCCAGTTTTACATTCATTCATCTTTATTTATGTATGTTTGTAATAAGTCGGTATCCAAACAGTGATTACGTAACATATTCCTCCTAAAAACACTGATAAACTTCTTAGCAGCTGTATCGATGTCCCATCGTTCAGTACGCAGCCCACCAATATAACAGTTATGGCGTAGTTCATTTGACTGGCACATGTCCAGTAACACTTTTTGTATGTCATCGGATGGTCCATTTTGCAAATTAAGAAGTTGGACGTAGGAGTAGTCACCAGTTCTGCAAATAGCCTTTGTTATTTTTCTACTCAAATTTGACTAGGACTAAATTATTAAGAGATTCAAGATTGAGACCAACTTATTTAGCCAATACAAAAGGTAATCAGCGACGTAGTGTATTTGTGTAGCACTTTCCAAAATAAGATCACAAAGTGCTAATTTCATTGCACTGTCTGCATCACGTGCCAGTGGGTTTAGAACTCCTGGGGTATCCACTATATATATAGGTGG